CAACATCTATTCCATACCTGAAGATGTCTGTGGAACAGACAAAACATAGTAAAAAATAAGAACTAATGCGGCAGAAATTTATAGAAACAAGGATCTTTTCATTCATAACGGATTCGGAGGTTTTTGTATATTATTTGAATTGTTTGCGACGATGGATTTCTCATAAATTAAATCATTAACATTTGCATTTGTTTTGTGTGAATAATTCATGAATATATATATATATATATATATATATATATATATATATATATATATACATATATATATATAACTGTGTATGGAAAAACATATTTTAAATCAATTAATTTATAATATTAATGCTCTGTAAATTTACATCGAGTACTATTTTGTAAAAATAAAAATACCTATAAGACCACCGGGTTATATATCTTACTATATATATATATATATATATGTGTGTGTGTGTGTGTGTGTGTGTGTGTGTGTGTGTGTATGTATGTATGTGTGGGGAGGTGTTTATGTGTGTGCCTGCGTTTGTGTGTCTTTCTTTTTGTGTGTCTTTCGGTGTTATATATATATATATATTCAACCCTGAAACTAACCCACTTAGTAAAATATTGAATCCTAATACCCTTAAATTAAGCTATAGTTGTGCTGATAACCTAGAGCAGATAATTAAAAACATAACAACATCGTCTTTAACAAGTATAGGAGTTTAAAAGGCGACTAATCAACAGGTTACTAACTGCAATACTAATTATAAGAATACAAATAACAACTTATGTAATTGTAGGAATCGAATAGTTGTCCACTACAAAATAACTGTGGGATTACTTCTGTAGTCTATCTTGGTACTATTTCAACAATTGAAAATCCAAATATAAAGAAGTTTTACATTGGTTCTACTATGAAAACTTTCAAGGAACGCTAGCGAGGGCATATGCAATCCTTTAATCACAGTGAATATAGGTACATGACTTCCATTATCCAATATTTTTGGAATCTAAAAGATAAGAACAAAACACCTACGATTAAATAGAGTTTGGTTAAGAAAGCTCGTACATGTAACTCCCTATATACCCCATGTTACCTATGCCTTAATGAAAAATTTGAAATTATTAGATTTAAAAACAAGGCTGATCTCTTAAATCAAAGATATGAACTTACAGTAAATTATAAACACCGTTATAAATTTAACTTAGTGTGGGGTCGTATACTTTAAATGATAATGATATGTCGCTGTATTTTTAATAGATTAGTATTTTTATTGCATGATGGTCATACTTACGATATAAGTGTGTATTGTTTACCTGCATAGTGTTATTAGTGTTGGTGTAAATGTGTATATATTTATTTATGTGTTGGTTAGATATATTTACACTGAGGAATGTGTATACAGTTGGTGTATAAATGTATTTATGGTTTTTTTTTTTATGTGTGGGTGTATGTGTGGGGTGTGTATGTATGTATATATATGTGTGTGTGTGTATATATATATATATATGTGGGGAAGGTAAGGTAGATTATAAGAGAAAAGGTTAATAATTGTTGCTGTATATGTGTGTGTGTGCCTATATGTATGTGTGTATGGGTGTGTGTATATGTATGTATTTGTGTGTGTGTGTATATGTATATATGTATGTATGTAAATATATATATATATGTTTGTATATATATTTATGTATATATATATATGTATGTGTGTGTGTATGTGGTTGGATATATATATATATATGTATGCATATATATGTGTATGTATGTGTGTATGTATGTATGTGTGTGTGTGTATATGTATGAAATGTACATGTATATGTATGATAAAATCACGGCAATATAATGGTTGGCCAGCATGGTTCGCTAGATTAGGTGCGACTGAGGAATGAGTTCGTTCCTCACTGGGTACCCTAATTTCGGCTTTGTGCCGATATATTTGTATATATATATGTGTGTGTATGTGTGTATGTATGTGTGTATGTGTATATATATATATATAAATGCGTGTGTGCATATATATATATATATATATATATATATATATCTGTATGTCCTATTTTATTGTGTATGTGTATTTATATTTAAGTATATTTCTGTTTGTATGAATGTGTTTATATATTTGTATATTAGACTATATGTATATTGCTGTGTGTTGGTGTTTGAAAAGGTATATTTATGTATCTATATGTTAGTTCGTTTATATATGTATTTGGTTAGATATGTTGTATTTTTATGTATGCATGTATATATGGTAGTTGTTGTGTAGATAGATATATTTATTTATATATATATATGTTTATTTGTAGATATGTATGTATGTGTGTATATATATTTATGTATGTTTGTGTATATATATATATGTGTGTGTGTTGGCACCTATTATGTATGAGTTTGTTTATGTGTATGTGTGGGTATGGAAACTTCGGTATATCATGACGGTTTTTTTTTATATATATCTAAGTATGTGTGCATAAAAGTCTATGTGTATATGTGTGTGTATTTAGGTTTATATGTATATGTGCGTACATGTGTACTTGTTATCATAGATATGTATATGTACGTATATGTTTATGTTTATATATTTATTTGTATGTATTTCTGTATGTATGTATATGTATGTATGTGTATATATTTATGCGTGTTAATTTGTTTTGCTGCCGTGTATATATATATATATATATATATATATATATTTATCTGTGGGTTTCTTTATCCTGTTTTCTTTTGCCAAACATATAATGAAACTATTATCAACTTATATGATTAATAATATATATATTTTTATTGATATTTATGGTTTTAGAATTTTCGTTTTAATATATTAAATAATATTATTTTAAACATTTTTATCTTTGTATATTTGCTCCCTTAAGTTATAATTCAATAAGTGGTTATTTACTGGTTGTGATTTCTCAATGTCTATGCCATTGTCTGTGGATGTATGTATGTGTATATATCGGTGTCTATGTGTATGTAGAGTGTATTCACATTTAACTGTGTGTGTATAAGTGTTAGTTTCACGTCTCCTTTTTTCATAAAGGGCTGTAGAGATGTTCATGTCTTCCCCCCACCTTTTTTTTTTTTTTTTTTTTTGTATGTTTGTGTGTGTGTGTGTGTGTGTGTGTATCTAATTATGTCTGGATGCTTATGTATTATAATCTGATTGTATTTTTGTTGTGTCACGCGTGATTTTAAGACCATATTCACAAACTTTAAAATAAAACGGAAAAGAAAGGGAAAAAAAAATATATATACATGTATTATCAAATGACCGGATGTATTGTAGCGTATTGTCGAACGTAATTTCAATGAAGAAATGAAATTGAATAAACATATATATTTTTCTTTCTCAATAATTTTGTAGTTTTAAACTTAATAGTGATTAAATTTGGTTTTTAAAATTGCCAGTTTTTTAATTTTAATATTAAATTTTATCATGTAAATTTATAATTATTAGTTATATAAATTATTTTGATATTACACGTATTTAAAGATCTGAATAGCTATTAGAGCAGGATTTCGTTGTCAAAGCTTTTTTGAATCTTTCTATACTTCGTTTTGATTGGATATTCTAGCTTTTGTAACAATGTTTCCCTAGTGTAGGATCATTAATTAATCTAACAGAAACTTTTAAAAAACCATTTATTTTCTTTTAACATCATCACTTGATAAGACACAGAGTGTGTTGAAACAAAATAGCTATTTTTTTGTAGTGATTTTATAACATACTTATGTTATAATTTTTTTTATAAAAATAATTATATATATATATATATATATATATATATATATATATATATGAGCGCACCATACTTTTGGCATTGTGACATATATAATATGTATAATATAATATATAATATATACTTATATCTATCTATCCATATATATATATATATATATATATATATATATATATATATATATATATATAGAGATAGAGAGAGAGAGAGAGTAGAGGTAATACCTCGTCTCCGGAAAACCTACGGTTTCTTGATTTGCTAATGCTCAAATCAATCTCGAAGGAAAAAGGTTTTAAAAAAAGAAAGAGCTATGAACATAATCGTACAGCATAGAGGTCGAAAGCCCATAGGAAAAAAACCCGATACGAGTAATCAACTAACTTAAAAGTGCTCAATGCAAAAGTAGAGCAGACCTTGTTAGGTTTGTCTGGCTCACTAGATTTGAATCTCTCTCTCTCTCTCTCTCTATATATATATATATATATATATATATTTATTGTTTTCAAACAAGTATAGCTTAGATGTGGCACAAGGCCGAAAGTATGGGGCAACCAGAGCAAGGATCGAACTCACTACTCAGTTGTAAATGTTCTAGCGAGTCAAACTTGCTAACCATTTTACCGCCTCGTGGTGGCCATCTCCTCTCATATCTACATACGATCTCTCCCTGATATTGAGAACATTTACCCATAAATATAGCATACGTGAAAACTATATATTATAACACACAGAAAGACACAAAACTCACAGACACATATATAAAACACACAGTCACACACACACACACACGTGTATATATATATATATATATATATATATATATATATATATATATATATATATATATATATATATGTATGTGTGTGTGTGTGTGTGTGTATGTAAATATATATATATGTAAGTATGTATTTATATGTGTCTGACTGCTTTTCATTATTTGAATTTCTTGGAGGAATAATTCTCAAGTATGATTAAATTTTTCTGATGTTTCTTTCATCTGAGGTATGCGATAAAAAGCCAGTGAAATGTAGCGTTTTACCGCATCTTCGAAATCGCCATTTTCCAACCTCTTGAATTGAAAATGAAAAATAATTTACAGGTGGATGGCTCAAGGACAGAAAGAATGCAATTGAGACATGTATATTTCTGTTTCTTCATCTTAGTTACACATGATATGAGTTCTGGGTTTTTTTAATAATTTTTTTGCAATTGTATACAAGTGACAATTACAAATAGTTCTATATAACTAAAATTGTTGGAGTCTGGGTGAATGGGTGTTTGTATGAATGAACTGTCTAGAGATTAAAATATGAACAAGCTTAGATAGATAGATAGATAGATAGATAGATAGATAGATAGATAGATAGATAAAGAGACATAATGAAACCGACTGACATAGAAAGGACTAGAATAAACTAGATGGATAGATAGATAGATAGATAGATAGATAGATAGATAGATAGATAGATCATGTGATGGAAACAATGACACTCAGATGGGCATGAACACATTAAGGTACAAAAAAAGTGAATGGCAAAGATAGATAGATAGATAGATAGACATAATGAAACCGACTGACATAGGAAGGACTAGAATAAACTGGAAAGATAGATAGATAGATAGATAGATAGATAGATAGATAGATAGATAGATCAAATGATGGAAACAATGACACTCAGATAGGCATGAACACATTAAGGTACAAAAAAAGTGAATGGCAAAGATAGATAGATAGATAGATAGATAGATAGATAGATAGATAGATAGATAGATAGACATAATGAAACCGACTGACATAGGAAGGACTAGAATAAACTGGATAGATAGATAGATAGATAGATAGATGAATGATGAATAAATAGATAGATCAAATGATGGAAACAATGACACTCAGATAGGCATGAACACATTAAGGTACAAAAAAGTGAATGGCAAATATAGATAGATATATAGATAGATAGATAGATAGATAGATAGATAGAGAGACATAATGAAACCGACTGACATAGAAAGGACTAGAATAAACTGGATAGATAGATAGATAGATAGATAGATAGATAGATAGATAGATAGATCAAATGATGGAAACAATGACACTCAGATAGATATGAACACATTAAGGTACAAAAAGTGAATGGCAAATATAGATGAATATATAGATAGATAGATAGATGAATGACAGAATGAGACTAGACATAATGAATAGATGGATAGACTGACATAGAAAGGACTAGAATAAACTGGATAGATAGATAGATAGATAGATAGATAGATAGATAGATAGATAGATAGATAGATAGATCAAATGATGGAAACAATGACACTCAGATAGGCATGAACACATTAAGGTACAAAAAGTGAATGGCAAAGATAGATAGATAGATAGATAGATAGATAGATAGATAGACACAATGAAACCGACTGACATAGAAAGGACTAGAATAAACTAGATAGATAGATAGATAGATAGATAGATAGATAGATAGATAGATAGATAAAGTGATGGAAACAATGACACTCAGGCATGAACACATTTAGGTACAAAAAAGTGAATGGCAGAGATAGATAGATAGATAGATAGATAGATAGATAGATAATGAAACCAACTGACATAGAAAAGACTAGAACAATGACACTCAGATAGGCATGAACACATTAAGGTACAAAAAAGTGAATAGCAAAAATAGATAGATAGATAGATAGATAGACATAATGAAACCGACTGACATAGAAAGGACTAGAATAAACTAGAAAGATAGAGAGATAGATAGATAGATAGATAGATTAAATGAATGGAAACAATGACACTCAGATAGGCATGACCACATTAAGGTACAAAAAAGTGAATGGCAGAGATAGATAGATAGATAGATAGATAGATAGATAGATAGATAGATAGATAGATATAATGAAACCGACAGACATAGAAATAACTCTACTTAACTAAATAGATTGATAAATAGAAAGATAGATAGATAGATAGATGGAAAAGAAAGAAGGAAACCAACTAACATAGATTAAGAAAGAATGAAGGAATCCGACTAACGTAGATAGATAGATAGAGAGAGAGAGAGAGAGAGAGAGAAAAGAAAGAAAAAGAAAGAAAGAAGGAACACGACTAGCATAGATAGACAGAGAATTAGTGTTATATTTTTTAGTTTTAACATAGATTGCCAGTGAGCAAACACATGGGATAGCATTATTGAATTTAATAGAACACGTGACCATAGAGGAAACGCATCGTTTTTCTACTCGGTCCGCTATTACTATACGGACCGCTATTCTCTATTCTATTCACTATACTATTTCTCTATTCACATCTCTATACGGTGATTACATTTCAAGCGAGTATTATCGTGCAAGTACTATTAATGAGAGTGATATTCGAAGGCGTCTGACACCAGTATTGTTCAACGGCGTTACTATAGTTCTATATGCGATTATAAAGTATCTACAACAACGAGTAATCGTTGACATTACAAAAGTGTCAACAGCGTGTTCGTTGATATTACAACGAATAGACAGACAGACAGACAGATAGATAGATAGATAGATAGGAACAGATTTAGCAGTATATTATATGGAAACAAAATTATTAAATTAGGAAAAATTCTGATTATTTTTTATAAATACTCTCTAAATGCAAGTCCCAAAAGTCTCTAGGATTACGAAATTACGTTATTTTACGATCGTAAGGGGAGGAGGTCAGAACTTTCGCTGACGTGGTATAGATAACGATCGATCCTCAGGAGACTGTTCTACAATGTAGCCGTTCTTGATAAGAAGCCGCCTGATTTGAATTTGCTTTTCACTAATGGATTACGAAACGAAAGACAAGGGTTCAACCAAGTGTATAGTGATTTACCCAGCGTAAATTGGATGGGGCACAAGGCCAAACGTAGGAGGCGACCAGTGAGGAACTTAGTACGCAGTCGTAAGTGTTCTAGCGAGTCATGCTTACTAACTATTACAACGCCTCGAGGTGCGAGCGTGTATAGTTTGACGCCTCTTACCAGCGAAGCTTAGCACTGGAGGAACTGAGTTTGGTAGCCAAATAATAGCAATGATAATACCGTGAAGATTGCGACGTATCACGTGTGAGAAAGTTTTTATCGCGTGTAAAATATTTCGTCACACACTTGAACAGTTTTGAACTAAAATCAAGACAGCTAAATAAGAACGGGACAGCTCCAGATCCAATATGGTAGCACTATTCATTTTTGTCTGATGCATCTCTCGCAAATATTGAGAACGTCAGTACGAGTCATATACTGAAGTGATAAAAGCAACTGAATATTTTCCAGCTATTTCATATCTATGGATCTTACATATCAAGGATGCGATGGATAAATTGTCGTCTAAATTTATACCAAAATTAAAACAAGATTGGCATCGCGTTTTAACAGATATATTTACCAACATGACAAAAATATCTTGAAATAAAATAGAGTAAATGTATTTAATAAAATTGCTATTGATTTCACCCACGGCCACCAGACGACTTCGGGATCACCTGCAACTCTTCTGGATGGTCTCCATTTTTAAGCTGGTGAATGCTTCTATAATCCTAGCCTTCACTTCATCTTTGGTGTTATAAGAAGCTGTGTTGGTCGTTCGCTCAACAACTGACCACACATAATAATCAAGTGGAGGGTGCAGTCTGGGAAGTGTTTAGATGTAAAGCGTGATGTTGTCGCAGAAATTGTTTGACAGCCATGACTGGATTCGCCTACGTGTGTGCCATGGTGCAGAGTACTGTTGCCAGACATACGGTCTTCCAAAAGCTACCTTCTTGACCCAGGAGAGCACTACCTCCTCGAGGCACTTGATGTACGAATCTGTGTTGAGTCTGAGGTCCTGTGAGAAGATGAAGGGACCCATAACCTCGCCATCACACGTGATCACTTCAAACACTATGATTTTGACAGTATATATCATCCAACTCTTTCTGAATCCTCTGCTCTCTTCTCAGATTAACAACGAAACTCTCTAAAATGTTCGTATTGGAGTATCCGGGACGAATTGCAAGCAGTACAGTATGCCTTTTTTGTAATTTCTCTTAGAGCGAATTGAGGCATGTTGCTCTTTATCTGACAGAGAGTGACCAATTACTCTACGTTGCATTGGGAAAATTCAAAAACAAACTACGCCCAAAATTATAAAATGTAGAAAATTTACTGTTGTGGATTCCAAGATGAAATTCGGTCTCCAATTAATGACAAACGCAAGAAATAAAAATAAGAAATTAAATGTATTTACACAATAATACAATGGGTATATTGTTAGTAAATCTAGGAACGCAGTTAGTCGTTATATATATATATATATATATATATATATATATATATATATATATATATATATATATATATATATATATATATATATATATATATATATATATATAGTCTCGAAAATGACTTGCTTAGAGTCTACGTGCGTGTGTAACTGATTTCTACAAGCAGTTACCTCACACTATTACTCTACCCCAACTCAATCACAATCTCTGATCCCTCTCCCAATCTCTATATCTCTCCGTATATTCTGACAGACTGTGAGTATTTAACGGCAGCACTCCAAGTAACACTTTGGTCGAGTCCACTTATATGAAAAAGGGGTGGACCCCATAACCTCTACCCATCGCACAGATTAACCCGATGTCTGCCGTTCAATGCAAGGGGATTGGTTTTGCGGGTATTGAAAGATACATGCCAGTCCTTCACCTGTTGGGCCATCTGGGCTAGGTTAGAGGAAATATCACCTTCCGATTCCTGGTCATCTAGGTTTTTAGAGGTGTACTTTTACTCTGTTGCATAATTTGCGGCAATATTCAATAATGATCTTTTTTCTTAGGCAAATTTGCTTATCGTCCGGTTCACACTCCTCCCTTGATTTTGAACAGTATAAAGATTTATCCATGTTTTTTTTTTTCTATTTTGTTCGGGATTTGGTTTCCGTTTACTTCTAATGTCTCCTTCATTTCATCTCGCTCCCAGTGAATTGATTAAAAAGATATAAAACAGAAATAGGGTTGAACGGAGAAAAGATCCTAGTGTATACCAATAAATGACCTTCATGGATTTATTAGTTAGGAAAGACTCGGAGATTGAGGATACATTTTCAGAGATTTCAAGGCTTACTGACACATAACATTGAAACACATTTGTCCGCATGACAACCGAATTTACGCAAAGTCAAGCCTGTTCAGTCCCTGGATGAGTGACCACTTGTGAATATCAGGTGCTGTAAGCTTGGTTGTGCGGGCGATGTAATGGACAATGACCCAAAATTTTTAATCGAAGAGATCCCATTTCTGTCGGCTTCGATATATTCACTTACAGGGAAATAAACATCACTTTTCTTAATTAGACTTGTATCTCTAAATATTGTCCTGGGTATGACAACACTGCCTGAAGTGACGATTTGAGGTTTTTTGAGGCGTGGAACCAGCTCTTAATTGCTATTGTTCCCATGTCCATTCTGAACCGGTGGTAGCACTTGTTACGGTATCAGCAAATAGAAGTAGACAGAAAAGATACTAGAAAAATTCTAAAGGGATCATGAAGAAAAATGGATTTTGCACCTGAAAATCTTTGTCCTGACGGACTTAACTACAATTTAAGAACATATATAGAATTAATATATGACCCCATAAATCAAGGTCTACCCAAATTTCTCAGACACACAAGACAGATGTGGTCGCAAAGATGTTCAGGTCTCACACTTATACACACACAACCATACTAATGTATACACTTACACACACCATACACTCTCCCAAAGAACCAAATGATAATTTGCACTTAACACAGACATATTTCCTTCCCTAATTGTTGAACTAATAATAAACACAAAAATGTACGTTAACAAAATGGGCTGAAACAAAGAATAGGTACACAATATTTACAGTTAGTTTGGTATATTCTGGGAAGACTGTTCCTGCATAATGGGTTCTGACTAAATGCATCTCTCGATTCAATTTCTAATCTCTACTATCTTAAACCCATATTTATATGGTCGGTAGTCCGTTTAAAATTAGGTGTATCATACACAACCGTGAAAATGACCAAGAAGGGAATTTGAGTTGCATGAATCTGTCTATCTTAAAACAACTTAAAAAGAAGCGATAAAACACAAGAACTGAACAAAATTTACGATAAAGAAATAAATGATAACTACAGATAATGCTCATTTTGTCCAAAAAACCGTTCATTCCTTTTAGTTCACTGCTACTAACATGCAGGTTTTATTCTGATGAAGATGGCCTTGCTGACCGAAAGTTGTTGAGGAACCTAGCTGAAATATTAAAACAAAAAAATATTAATATACAATCCAGTGTTTCTGAAAATGTTAAGCTTTTAATATGTTTTTTGTTCAATATATATATATATATATATATATATATATATATATATATATATATATATATATATATATAAGCAAATATATGGATATAAATCCGACAGTATGAAAAGAAAATACAGAAAAAAAAACAAATTCTGAATATGCATTATTAATGTTAAAATAAAGAGTCGACGTCGGACGTTTCGGTCTATTTAAACCATCTTCATGGACATTTCATTTAAACATAATTAACATTATAACTTAAACAA